ATCTGCTTGCAGCATTAGTGAGTCAAGCCGATCAGAAAGTGCTCGGTCGCCGAAGATTCGAAGCACTCTGCGCTAGATGCGATCAAATGGAAGGAGTAGACACTTGGGAGCCCCAACCCAGAGATAAGAAACAGTATTCCATGTGAGGACAAACCTGCGCCTTATAAAGTTGCAGGCAGTGTGCCGGCATGAAATACTGGCCCGCTCTGCTGAGCATGCAAATTTTTTTAGAGGCCAGTTTCGTTTTCTCTTTCAAGTAAACACGAGTTTTCACGTCATTCGATATGTCGACGCCGAGGATTATACTGGCTGAGGCAACAATGGGAGTGCTCTGAAACTGAAGAGCAATTTGGCGGTAAACACGCAAAGTTTTGTCTTTTGAAGATTGAATTTCACTAGATATAGTCACCCCCATTCCGAGACCTAGTTCAGTAAAGTCTCGACTTCAGGCACAAGGTTTTTTCTGACACAAATACTGGCACGGCCGGTGTATAGAGCAACGCCAGCGCTAATATGCAAATATTCTCTTAAATTTGTTTCTGTAAATATTAATATGCTTATTTTAATTTTAAACATTGCTCTTTTTAGCTGCACACCTGTAACGTCGAACTCATCTAACGCAGAGAGACTTTGTTATTAACTTGTCAAGGTTGCGTAAAGCGCTCGTGTTAACAAAGATTTATTATTTATACATCGCATTATTACGTAATGAAAGGAGTATTAATATTAAAAGGAATTTTTAGTCTCCATAGTCTAGTAGTCGTAAATCGTAGACCGCTAATTATAAGGTCACGGGTTCAAATCCCGAGATGGGTCAAAAAGTGTTTTGCATAACGCCTTAAACATAGAGCATAAGTAAATTTCAAATCGCTGCTGCTATATTATGGTTGTAGCACGAATGGTCAGCTTGACCGGGTAAGGAAAACGCCCTCACAGAATTTCAGCGTAAAATAGAAGCATTATGCTGCTGTATTTCAAACGGTAAGTGTAGAGAATCGGAGATCCTTTTTACTGGAAACGAGACATTCCAATTTAGTGTTCAGGGGTGACAACGCATTTTTATTCTTAATCTATGGGCCACATAATTGTCTTACCTCTCGGACTTCATGCTCGTTTGTTACCCATACTATTTTATAAAAATTAAAAGGTAACAAAAACACATATATAAAATTATAATTTAATTATATACTTACGTTTACTATTTATTATAAAATATCCAATAAAAATGTTTATTAAAACTATTTCTTACGGATTATATTGCTTTTTAATTTATTCATTTTTAATTCCCGACGTCGGCTGTCCCATCGTGAACATGTATGTTTCAAAGTACCCAGAACATCTGGAATTAAAAATAAGGTGAATTAAACGTGACAAATGCAAAAAAAATGTTTTGTACTTTATATTCGCGTAGAGTTTGTTTGAAATACTGAAAGTAGGTATCTCTTTGTAATAAGTTAGTATTAAAGGTTAGAAAATAATGTAATATTTCGTTCTAAATATGGCGGTCTTAATATTTATCTATTAAATACGTAATATTAATTTGCATTCAAAGAACGGTGTCATTTTTATTACATTTATATTTTAAACCATGGACAGTACCTTTATATCGCAGACGAATATATGAATTTGAATTTCAGTTTCAAGAGCATGTATAACATAACGTTAAACAAAGAGTAGATTAAGTACCATTACGTACTTCTTTTTCATCAACAGTGCCTGTTACAACGTCTTGAACCGTATTTAGAGCTTCTTATACTATTTCCATAGCATAATGTCGTATGGTATTTTGCTCTGGGGATACGCGACTGACACTGAAATTATATTTGTTTTACACAAGAGAACTCTATAAAGATAGCAGTGAAAAGTCAGCAGAAACCGTAAAATTGTATCTAAGAATTTGTTGCTAATTAGTTGCCAAAATCGTGATTTTGTTGCTCCAACCGGTTTTGTGCAAATTGATTTACTGCTGTCTTTAAATTAAGATAGCAGTAAAAAACTTTACATCAACCCTGCTATAGCGGATACGATGGAATAATTAGTTGCTGAAATATAATGCAAAAAAGAATATAAAAAAATTCAAAAAAAAAATTTTAAAATTTTTATATTATTAAAAATTACTAGAATTAAAGTTGTGTTTTAATAATGGTTCTGAAGCTCCAAATAAATAAGTATTTTGCTACTGATTAAATAGTAAGCAATTATTTGTGTACATGCTAAATTTACAGAAGTTTTAGTTAAAAAACGGCAGATATTTTGTTGTTGTTCATTAATAAAAGCAGCAAGTCATGAAGATGCAGTAAAAAAATAAAATTGATTGGTGAGCTGCACCAAGTAATTATTTAGTAATTATTTGTAAACATGCTTTAATTTATTTGAAAATTTTAGAAAAAAAGATAGTAGATATTTTGTTGCTGGTCAGTAATGGTAGCAGCAAGTCATAAAGAGACAGAAACAAAATAAAATCGATTGATAAACTTTACGAAGTAATTTCTTTGTTTAATTGCATTATTTACTTGAAAATTTTAGAAAAAAAGACAGATATTTTGTTGCTGATCAGTTGTAGAAGCAGTAAGTAAATAATATAAACAAAATATAGAGCCAGCAACAAAATAAAATCGATCGCTTAGCTACAATACGCAATTAAATAAAAATTATTTGTGAACGTGCTATCTTTATAGGTGATTTAAAAAACGAGACGGCAAATATTTTGTTGCTAATCGGTAATGGTAGCAGCTAGTCGTAAATGGCCAGCAACAAAATAAAACCGATCAATGAGCTATAATATGTCGTAAAATAAAAACTATTTGATTTGAATTTTCACTATATAATTTTGTATTCTACAACGAACTACATTCATGTTGTTGCCATAGAATAATTTTTTCAAGTGATTCTATGCCACAATAAAATAGAAAACAAAGTTGTAAATCAGTATTGTCCAACTGGGAACTGTAGTTCCCAGGACGTTTGAGTGGTTATTGCCCTTTGATGTTCACCATATTCCTATCGACCTATTTATTATATCAAACGTGTACAAGATGTTCTTCTCCTCAGCAAGGGCGCGGGCACAGTACACAGAAATATAGTATTCCCCGCCAACGAAACGGAGCGATTACGATTTATGTGTGAAACAAAATATACTTGAAAAATGTTATTTATTTTCAAACATCCCTAAAGACAGCACTAGATAATAAATTAGTGATGTCATTTATTATATTTTTCACTTAAAAATAAAGCATATTTTTAACGACCAAAACAAATCAGTTGTCGATGAAAATAAGTGTGATTTTTTTTCTATCGAGAAAATGTTAGCCAATTATGTTTTTAATCAATGACGATGCTCGCAATTAAAGCCAAAGGTTGACAATTTATCTTTGTGCGCCCTGTAAGACTAAAATAAACAACAACTCGTTTTTTAACTGTTTAATTATAATATTGCAACACATTCCTTGTCACAGTGTTTATTACAATGCATTCGATACATATTTTTATAATAATTCTTGGTTCACATCTTATTTTTTCCATCTAACATACAGGTAAAAGAAATAGGCTGGGCGACAACTTAAAAATTTAATGTTGTTTTTTATTGAAAATCTTCTTTTTGATAAATTTAAAGTATGAAAGTACCCTTAACTGATGAGCATGTATGTGTAGGTATATGGATGTAGAGGAGATGAGAGAGGTTTGCCGGATCGTGCCAAATAGAAGTCTTTAGTCTCTGCCTACCCCGCTGGGTGACAGGCATGAGTGTTTATTTTTTTTATAAATTATTAATGCTAAATGTTTTGAAAGTGATTAAGTCACGCTACAGTTAGAATATGGTTGTACCCGCGGCACGAATGGGTTGGCTAGATCGAAGAACGACCACATTCTCACAAAATACTAGCATAAAATAGCAACCAATGCTGCTGTGTTTGGAACTGGAACCTTCTTAACTGGATACCAGTTATGCTATCTTAGTCCTTAAGTGTGGGAACGCAACTACATAATCGTAGATAGATGGAGATGTTTATATGCCACAGCATTCAGTTACTATTCACCCGTATTCTAATAGAAATAGACCCAAACTCGATTGTGTATTAATTGATGATATCCCAGAGTATTAATGAACAGAATATATTTAGAGCTCCATGCCAGATGGCACATAATGTAAAGGAATGAAATTATCCCATGCATTTTCTTTTGTCGATAATGCACTGAAAACAAAACATATATTTAATTTGATTTCTTTTGTATTGTGTAAATAAGTTTTTTTTTTTTACAAATGGGTGTAATAAAGATAAGGGCTGACATATCCGTTCCCAAAAATAGCCTCAATAAATAAAGAGGAATAAGGTAATAATTAGAAATAATATAAATTACATCGGACTCATTACTAAAACATCAGAGCGCTATATAAACTTAGTGCAATACAAATTAATTCATTCCTATTCAAAGCTTGTACCAAATTCGCCTCTAAAAATGCTAATATATATTTTGATTGCGTTGACAAGTATATGTTACTTTTGGTACTACTATTTGACAAGAACATTTAATTATTGAAAATCAAGAAATGTAGCAGGTCTAAAGCCGGTTCCATTTTTTGGCAATTTACAAGTATCTGCTTTGAGGAGAAAGAATATTGGAGTAGTTTTGAAAGAGATCTACGACGCATATCCCAATGATAAGGTAGTGGGAGGGTTCAGGATGACAACTCCATGCTTATTGCTTCGCGACTTTGATATGATCAAGCACGTTATGATAAAGGATTTACTTCTCTGATCGAGGAGTTTCGTTCGGCACAAAGGGCTTGGGAAATAATTTATTACATGCTGACAGTCATATGTGGCGGTTCTTGAGGAAGCGATTCACCCTAATTTTTATCTTCGAAAATCTCAAGAATATGATTTATTTACCAAGCCAGCAGGGTGTAAAATTCATCGAGGTTGTTAATTTTTTGTAAAGATTTTAATTTTTAAGAAGCAACGGGAACAGAAGTACACTTCTTAGTTCAGAAATACACAATGGCGACAATCCCAGCATGTGCATTTACTTTGGAAGTCAATACAATTGGTGATACTAAGAGTTCCGTATTCACAATGATTGATAACATTTTATTCACACCGGCGTTTATTGATGAGATTGACATGATGTATCCGCGAATTTTGAAGAAATTAAATATCAACCCTTTCACCCAAAGTTGTGCAAGATTTATTTCAGCAACTCGTAAAAACCAACAGATAGAAAAGATTTGTACGGACTTAATTTTTGAAATGAGGGAAGAACGTAATATCCAAGGGCCGAAAAGAACGGAAGAGGAAACTGAAATGACTTTAGAAATAACAAATGATATAATCGCTGCACAGGCGCTTGAATTTTATGCAGCTGGGTATAAAACGGTTTGATCCCTTAGTTGGGCCATTACGAAGGAAAGCACGAAGAGATTACCAGATATCGGGGATGGATGTGACGGTCAAAAAAGGGTCAAATAGTTATCATATCGCCTTTCGGCATCTAGCACGATGAAAAACATTACCCGAACCCGGAAATATTTATTCTTTATTCTTTATTGTATACACAATAAGTAGGTAACAATTATTAAATATTTAAATAAATGTACAAAGGCGAGCTTAACCCTAATAAGAGTTCTCTTCCAGCAAACCTATTGGGAAAGAGAAATAGTTTTATATATAAAGCAAGTAGGTAGCAGCGTGCGTACTTAATAATTAACATAACGCTACTTAATAGAAATTGGCTATAAGTTACAGTTAACAATTAACATATAAGTGTATAACATATAAGTATAATTTATTTTCTTATTTCTTTTATTCTTATTTCTATTAATTTACATACATATATACCAATAAAGATAATAAATATAAACATATATACACATATACACACACACATATATACATATATATATACATATACATACACATATACATATATGTACATATATATACAATTATACATATAAATACATAAAATATGTAAATATTTATAATTCTAAGTTGACAGATAATATTTCTTTACTCTGCTCCGAAATATATCAAGAGAAGAGCTAGCACGTATGTCATGTGGAAGTGAGTTCCATAGCTTGACCTCCCTTACAGTAAAGGATCCACCACAACGGCTTGTGAAATGAAAAGGAGTTTTGAGAAGTAGTTGTTTAGTGGTCCGGCACTGAGTTTCACGAGGTACAAGATACTCAAAACGCTCGCGGAGATATGGAGGTGCAAGAGGATTAAAGAGTAGAAACTATAGAAATGATAACACATGTAAGTCTCGACGTCTACTGATAGGAAGCCATTTTAATTGAGCACTGTACTCTAAAACATGATCAAACTTACGAAGACCGAAAATAAAACGTATACACAAATTTTGAACACGTTCCAGTTTGTTCAACAGCTCCTCTGAAGCATCCAAAAAACTAACATCAGCGTAGTCAATGAGAGGAAGAAGAAGTGCTTGAGCTAAGGTTATCTTAGTTTTTAACGGTAAAAACATCTGGAGACGCTTGAGAGATTGAAAAGAGTAGTTCACTTTTCTGCTAATCATATTAATGTGAGCGACCCAAGACAAATTATTATCAAAAATAACACCTAAGTTCTTAGCGGTCTCTGTATATGGAATTTGAGTATTATCATACGTTACTGCAGGGATCTTCGAACGATCTAATAAATTAAGCATACGATTTTGCCCAACTGCTTATGCTACTTAAGTCAGCATTCAGCTTATTAATAGCCTCATCTATATCTTGGACTTTGAAATGACGGTATAATTGCAAGTCATCAGCATAGAGATGATAATGAGAGGAGAGAACAGTAGTGAGAGCATTAATAAAAATAGAGAAGAGAAGTGGGGAAAGAACACCACCCTGAGGAACACCCGCCGTAAGATCACACCACTCAGAGATATCCTCCTCATGGCGGACACACTGCGAGCGACCCCTAAGGTAAGAATTAAACCAAGAGATTACTGATGGTGAAATGTTTAAGGACGCAAGAATACCAAGAAGTATGTCATAATCAACGGAATTAAATGCACTGCTGAAATCCAATAATGTTAGAACAGTGAGAAGTCTTTTGTCCATGGTCCAGCGAATATCATCAGACACTTTAATCAGAGTGCTGACTGTGCTATGGCCTGGACGAAAACCAGATTGAAAAGGACTCAGCAGGCTGTGAACAGTTAGGAATTGAGATAGTTGCCTCTGAACTATATTTTCTAGTACTTTAGATAAGATCGGAAGAATGGAAATATGGCGGAATTGGGATAAAGATGTAGGATTAGAAGTTTTTGGAAGGGGAATGACGAATGCTTTTTTCCAGCAAGTCGGAAAGGAGCTCGTCTCAAGCGAAGAAGAGATAATGTGAGTGATAATAGGGACAAGTTCATTAGTGATAGGTTTAATCATTATACAAAGATTGTCATAGCCAATAGCTTTAGTGGAAATAGATAAAAGGCATTTTTTTATGCCACCATCGGTAACTTTACTGAAATTAAAAGGAGAACACAGCAGTTTAGGAATATTGGAGAGAAGATTAAGTGTAGTAGACTTAATAGAGTTATCAATAGAAATCGGAGGCTCAGAAAAGTGCCGGTTGAGTGCAGTCAAATCAAACGAGATATTAGAATCAATATATGATTTGCCTATACCCAGGGTTCTAAAAATTTCCACATCTGAGCGGAATGAGAATTTTCAACCTCATCATAAATATGTCTCCTCTTAGCATCACGACACATCTTACTACTTTTTATATGTGAATAAATTTTCATTAGTAGGGTGCTTCTTATAACGCCTCTTAGCTTTACCTCTTTTGGCCATTACTGCTTTTATAGACTCTGAAAGCCAGGGGGCTGGAAAGTGTTTAACCCTGACTCGCTTAAGTGGTGCATGTGCATCGAATAGTTTTAAAATGAGGTGATTAAAAGCATAAACCTTATGATTAACATCTTCGGAATTTAGAACAGGGGACCAGTCAATATTATTTACATCATCTCTCAAACGCTCCAGGTTAATTGATTTAAAGCTTCTTAGGAATAAGAATTTCGATTTACGCCTAGGACGTTGAATTTTATAGGAGAGGAAGATAAGATCGTGGTAAGAGAAAGACGCAGATAGTTGTCCATGCGAAGCAACCCGGTCAGCATCAGAAACAAGAATAAGGTCTAAAAGAGAAGGGGTATTATTAGGCGAATGGTGAGTAGCAGAAAGAGGAAGAATATGTAAATTAAAATATGATACCAGGGAGAGCAGTTTTTTGCTACGAAAATCGTTCTTTAACAGGCATGTGTTAAAGTCACCTAAAATAATGGTATTATCATAAAGCGGAGTTAGATTTACAAGTTTTTCTTCCAAAGAAGAAAAATAATTTATATTGCGAGAGGGGGGATAATAGACCTCAAGCAAAGTCCTAGAATGATTAATAGTAATTTCAATAAATAAATGTTCAGCAAAATTTGTGTATATATTGGGTGAATGATCAACTATTTTATAAGGAATGTCAGCTCTCAAATAGATTGCCACTCCACCATAACCTTTGCCAACCCTGTCATTACGTATAAGTTGAAAACTAGGGAGACAATACTGTACCGACGGAAGTTCAGGCTTTAGAAAAGTTTCAGAAACAAGTATGGCATCAACATATTTAGAATCGAAGGTTGATAAAAGATCAGCGTAATGAGCATGAATGCTTTGAGCATTAATATGGACCATATTAAGATTTTTTCTATAATTACAGAATACGGCTACTAGTTGATCATGTAAATGAGTGGAATCATCACTTAAGGCGTTTTTATAGGTTATAGCGCTTATTGGATGAGCTAGAAGAAGAGCAAGAAAAATAACTATCATCAAATTCCAAAAAATCACACATGCTAATCAAAACTATAACATAAACTAAGCTATAACAAAATCAATAAAAATTAAATATATACTTGTATAATGTAAAACAAATAAATATTATATAAGTCTGGATATAATATCTACAAAATAAATAATAATATATTATGAAGCTGTAAATATATTAAAATTAAAATAAAATTGCCAACAATTATGCACTTAACAACATTTCTTTCATACCTGCCGGCAGTGTCATCGGTAGAATTTTATGTTTAGATAACTTACTTAAGACTAATTAATATAATAATAAAAAAAATATATAGAAAAAGCACAGTCTTACCATAAATAATAAGACAGACAAATATGTATTATCTACGGATCTTGTCTGGCAAAAAGACTAGTAGTATAAGCAATGGAATGACAGCATGACAGATATTAATAGCTGTCACTATGATTTATTTCATCACTAATGTCATTGTGTCACATAATAAACAAAATTATGAAGGTAAATTATTATAATATTAGAGATAACTACGAACTACGATGTTTCAGTTAACACACAAAATTGAAGAGATGCAACACTATGCAAATGGAGACTACACAAAAATACAAATAAATTGTGGTAAATAAACACTAAGTTAACGCGAAGACACTATCTCTTGCCTGCGGTGCCCGTACGTCGACTTTTGGAAGCTCCAGCTGGTTCCCTGACCGCGGTCGTTGTCTTCGACTTCGACACAGGAGGCTCAACAATTTTATCGAGTTCGATCACAGAGCTAATGCGATGTCGAACGCCACCGCTACCCAGTACAAAAACAAAGCCTTCACGTGTCCAGCAATTCGATATTCCATATCTCCGTCGAGCTGCCATAAAGGCTTCATGTCGAGTTTTAGTTAAAAACTCCGACAGAGTGATACCAGTGCCCTTCAAACACGTCTTAGCTTGCCAGATTTTGTTCTTCACCTCTAACTCACACAACTTAAACAAGATAGGTCTTGGTTTGTCAGAAGAAGAAGTATGGCCCATGCGATGGCAGCGAGATATATCTTTGTCCGAGAAACCAGACAACTTGAAACGGTCAACAAAAGTCTTCACTAATACCTGTACAGTGTCCTCGTTCTTTTCCTCCGGAAGTCCATGAAGTAATAGAATCTTCCGCCGGCTCCGCATCTCCATATTATCCACCTGGTGCATCAACAGGCCTACCTGTTCTTGAAGATTGCGTAGGGCTGTCATGATAAATAATCTGAATGAGGAGAACTCGGATGTCAAATTGGCAATGGAGGCTTAAGGTGCTGCAGCTTGAAGCTCACTTTGATAGATATCCATGCGCTGAGTAAACATCTTCCGGAGTTGTGTTATTGAGTCTTGAATGGCATCCATTTTGAAAATATCTTGTGCAGTGATAATGTAAGAAAATTGTGAGACAGATTTTTATTGACTAAGTTTGTAAAAAGCAAGGATTTTACTGCCTGGCAGGTATAATGGTTAGTACATTAGTTTCCCATATAGTAACAACACTATTGTAATGTTTTATATATTAAAAATTATATTAA